GTTCGGAGACGGTCCTCTTGCGCCACCGCTCCCTGTGCGCCGTATATCGCCCCCCCCCCTTCCCGTCCTTACACCGGCCACTGCCCCCCGTCCCGCCGGCAGAGCGTTCCTCCACCCTTTCTCAGGTCGCCGCCGCCGGTCCGCGGTGCAGCTCTCCTTCGAGGGTGCGCTGCGGTGGCCCGGCCTCGCCGTCGCGTCGCCGGCCGGCGGATCGTGCTGTGCCCGCTCCTTGCCGCAGCGCGAGCCGGTCCGGTCAGTGCCCCCGGCGCCGGTGCGGCCCGGGCGGCCGTGAACAGGCGGCCGGCCGGCGGTGGCCGTGCAGCGCCGCCGCGCACCCGCGCCGCCGCCGGCACGCGCCAGGGTCAGAAATACCGGCAGGCGGCGACGTCGCCGGGCCAGGCGCACGGACCGCCGGACGGCGACCTCCAGAGGGCGTGGGCGAGCAGGTCCGGTGACGCCGATGGCGAGGGTGGAGAGTAATGCCGGTCAATGGATCTAGCGGTCGGTGGGAAGTCGCGCAAATCAATGAACAGGTTGTGGATATTTAAGTGACGCCTACACGCACCTAGGTACTTTGCGTGCGATTCGAAAAAGGAAAGACGGATCCTTCAACCTACCCCAAACTGCACGCGATTGAAACCCTCCTTTGCATTGCCTAACTTGGTACCGTATCCATTTTTCGTCAGGTGTCGTGCGACCGCGCTCTGCAAAAGCGTATCCGACATCCGTGATTTTATCCCGCATACATTTACGTTACTTACAATACGTGATGCAGCGCTCGTGACCGCTAGTAGTGAGTCACAGAGCAGCGAGTGCAGGGGTCGCTGGGTGCCGCCATCGCCCCGATGGGTCGGCGAGCGGCGCGCAGCTGGCGGCTGGGGGCTGGCGGCTGCTTTGGGGAGGCTGCTGCAGGGAGATGTATGGGGTTCCCCCACGGCCCGGCAACGGCGAGCGTCGTGAGGACGGCGCGGTGAGGCTGAATAGATGCGCTAGGCTTGCACCGCGGTGTTTTCGGGAGGTGGATGCTATTATCGAGGCTTAAGTGACAGCCTTAGAGCAGAACCCTTAACCGGTTCACATTCAGAAAGGTGCCGGCGTCTCACTGGCGACATCTGAATGGAAAGAATGTGACGGGACACTGACTGCGGGCTCCCCTCAGTCACAGCGGCGCTTTCCCGATAGTATCCACACTGACGCGGTAATCCAGCAGCGGGGATCTCGGCCGGCGATCACACACATGCAGTCATGACAACGCGAGGAATGCTGTTTGACTACACAGGTCCCTGGTAACACCGCCTCCTTCGAGCTCGACTGCGGTGTTTTGAGAACGGGCAAACGTGTCATTGGTACACAGATTACAGGAAAGGAAAATTAAAAGGAGTGATGTCACTTGCCAACGAGAACTCGGGATTCGGGCTCCGATGGGATTCCGCTTCTGGCGCACTTGGCTGCCACGGTGTCACGCGCTAATGCAACAATTAACGAAGACACGGAGCACATTTCTGGTTCGTGCTGGGGCTCAAGGTCTTCCTTTCAAAGGGCGCCAGGCCTTCGAACGGACGCCGTCAGCGGCTCTGATCGCTGCGCCGCCGGCGGAGCTGTCGGCGGCGGCGGCGGCGGGCGGTGACGGCACCGCCGCCGCCGCCGCCGTCCGTCCGCCAGCTGCCGGCGCCGTGACGGCAGGTGGCCACGGAACCCGGCCCACCTGCCCCCCCCCCCTCCCTCCCCTCCCGTGCAACCCCCGTACTGGCGACAGATGCCATGCGGCGGCGGCGGCGGCGGCGGCGGCGGCGGCTGGGGGGAGGGGGCGTTGGGCGCGGGCCGGTTTGATGCGATGCGATTTGTGCGCGTCGTTCAATGAAAGAAGGCGCACGTATTTGAAAACGCGGTGTAGACTGGATTTCATAAATTGGCCTGCGTTGAACCGCCGCTCCGCTCTAGGGAGCAGCAACCCTTCCGGCCTCGGAGCGCCAGAACGACTCCGGCCGACTGGCGCCGGCGGCTGAGTTCGTGACCCTTTGACCCTGCGGCGCGGGTCGGCCGGCCGGCGAGCGGCTGAGGTAGCCGGCGTGGGGCGACGCCAAACGCCGCCACGGCTCTTGGCACGGAGCGAGCGGAAATTTCCGCCGCTTGGGAGCGGAGCAGGCGGGTGCGTGGCGCCCGTCGCGGTAGCTGAACAAATTGGCTCGTTGGTTTGGTTCCCAGGCAACCGCTGGTGTATTTTGGCACGTGTTTATGGCGGAACGTCATATGTAGTATTTGCCCTCCAATTATGAGTGAGGTGTTGGAAACCGCGCGTGATGCGTGGCGAGGAGTTGGGCAGAGGACACCTTGCCAGGCCTGTTCGAGCTTCGCGCACGTACCTTCTATGCGCACATAATTATCAACACTCAGCCGTCCAGAAAACGGATGCTTGACATGTCCCGCGTTCCTCGATCCCCTGTCAGCCGTCCCCTCGCTTGGGGCACGCTATGCATTTCACTGCAAGGGAGGTTGGTGAGCCCGCGAGACGCGACAAATGCGAGCGCCGACGTCTCGAGGTTTTGGCGGCGGGATCTGTCCGCCAGCGGTGCGTGCGGAATAATTCGGAATGAACTCGCCGTTCCGCAGTTCTTGTCTATCCCAGCGATGCCTTGATAGTCTGGTGCGGTGACGCGGCCGGGCCGCGCGCGTCCGTTCACGCGGCGCCGGGTTTCCCGGCGCACCCACGCCGACGTCACTCAAACATAGCCCTTCACTCTCATGACGCCATTCCGTGACGTGGGTGCACGTTTGACCTCGCCCTGACCGGTGAGTGCCCCAGGTCCGGTCATGAGGCTCTCCCCTCCCCCTTCCCTCATCCGTGATTCACCGCGCCGTGCGGGAACGTGACCAGACACGCCGCGGCCGCCTTCCAGAACGTTCCCGGTTGGCGCCATTTCACGCGTCCGGTTGGCGCCATCCGGCGCCGCGCGCGCGCGCGCGCGCGCGGATGGACCACGTGGTCGGCGTTCGCGCGCGCAATGCCCGCGCTCAAGGCTGCACGGGCGGCGGCCGGCGCACGCGGATGGGGCGGCGCGGGGGAGCATGGGGTGGCTGACTCGCGAGAGGCGGGAACGCACGAGTGGCTGTGGCGGGTATGTGGAGGCCGGAGGGTGGTAGAGAGCGGAGATGCAGGGCCGAGCGCGGGGCGATGGTAGAGAGTAAGGAGGCGATGCCGAAGGCGGGAAGCGGCGGCGGCCCGGTCGCTGCAAGGCCCGCCGGTGGCGAGGCCGCGCGAGCGGTTGGTCCCGCCGGTGGGCGTCGCGTGATCGTGCAGGCGGCTAGAGTAGTAAAGCTACCAGCGGTGCTTTTGCACTTTCATGCCGGCGTCCGGTGGGCAGCTGGCGAAAGGCTGTTTATTGGATGTCCCGGCGGTGGTGAAAGTCCGGGCAAGTCTTGAGCTGGGTGCGGACCGATAAGCATTTAGCTGTCCTCTGAGTAAAGCCGTTCCTAAGCAGACGCGCCGAGTTCTGTGGGGGATGCATGGTCAGTGTATCTACCATGGGTGGTGGCCATCACCGAGCTAGGTGGGGGTCCACTGCGGGACAGATTTAACTTTAGGCGTTTTTTTCCGTACGGAATGGCACTAGAACGGTGACAGACTTAGTTTAGCACATTTATAACGGCGGTTAGACCCTGCCGTGTTTCTCTCCATTTCATATCACGTCAATTTTTCTGTCCGTAAAAGCTATAGTTAACTGCCGTATGCAAAATGTCAAACTCCAGAAGTTCGTGGTCCTGGTTTTTGTCTTGTTCACCCCAAAAGTTCATGGTCACAGGAGCCTTTTCGGCTAACTCCAGAAGTTTAAGGTGATACAATGTTTGTTTTTGTATAGGAACACATTGAGCTTGTACTTCAAAAGACTGGCTCACATCCAAAGCGTACGCCTTGCAGCTGCGTTAGTTAACCTTGGCAGGGCTTGGCGAGCCCCGAGCGGCCAGGTTTCCCCCACCGCGCGGTCGGCACGCCGATACGCCGGCCGGCGGCGGCGGCCGCGGCTGCCGTCGCGGCACCTCCCGCCCGGCCACCTTGGCCTTGACAGGTTTGCAGCGGCGCCGCGGTCAGGCGTGCTCTGCACGTGAGAACGGGCGCTGCATGGCCGGCCGTGCCGTGCCGGCAGCCCGGTGCCCGCAGCCCTGGCGGAGCGAGTGCTGGCCCAGGGTGAATCACTGGCGCCGGAGTAATCTGGCAAAGTTGGCGGGAGGGGAGATGAGTAGGGAAAGGGCTCAACCTGACCCCTAAGTACGCGCCCGAAAGCTGGCTTCTACCGAAATTTGGCCCACGTTTTTCTTAAACTTTTGGGGGCCTGGATCCCCCGACTGAACATAAAACTGCACCCTGACTCCCGACCGTGTCGATGTGACGGGGGTGGGTCGGTCCTCCCCACGAGGCATGGGCTGCTGCTGACACAGTACCCCGGGGCGACGCTGACTTCACCGGCTCCAGAGAGTGACGGCTGCCTACGTGGGCGACATGCAATCCACGTGCTGATAACTGGCGCCCGCCGACAGGATGATGTTTGCCGTCTTCATTGGTGACGTGTGTCAACAGGCTGTGATGATTGCGTCTGCAAACATGGTGTTGCCGATGACGGCCTGCGGCTGCTGGTGCCGCCGCGGGCGCCGCGTTCGCACGCCGGTTGTCTCGTGTGCTGTGCGTGGCTGTTGGTCTCGCTCGTCCGACAGCCGGCGCAGAGCATGGTAATCTGTGCCGCTCTGAATTACAGTGCTGAGTTGCGTCATCGGCGCCGACGAACGAACAGACATCGGCGCCGACGAACATGAGCGCCGCTCGACTTCACTCATCAATAGCTGTTCTCCTGCGGTGACAGTGAACATCGCCGGCGAGACTCACACTCGCCCTCCTGGTTCGACAGTCATGTCGCGCTCGGGCGGCCGCCGCCCGCTGCGTCCATTGCCTCGAGGCGCGCACAGCCCCCGCCCGCCGCCCCGTGTCACGCTCCGCCGCCTGCCCACAGCCTGGAGATCGGCGATGCGCGCTTCTGCCGGGGCGGCTGTCAGGCGATCGCCGACACGGGCACCTCGCTGATCGCCGCGCCCACCGCGGAGGCCGAGGCCATCAACAAGGCGATCGGCGCCGTCCCCATCATCGGCGGCGAGTACAAGGTACGGCCGCCGGCGCCGGTGGGGATGTACCTGCACGGGGCTACGGGCAGCCGGGCACGTGGTCTGAAGTTTCCTCAGAGCGGTTGGGCTGGAGGCCCTTTTTTCGGAATACCGTGATTCGGGGCCGGATTCCTGCACAATCGCTCAGTATCTATCTAGCGTAAGCCTTTGTGTGTGTGGGGGCATGACTCCACTCCTCCCCCCTCCCCGGACTACGTCCTTGGATACGACACAAATGATGCACCCGGCCAGGGGCAAGGTCTCGCTGCTGCTCCGAAGAGCCCGGAGCGGCCGGAGCGCCGTCTCAAATGACTGAGATTGGGTCCGGGTTCAGCGACCCGTTTCGCCCGCCGAACGATACGACAACCGTAACGGCATCCCGAAAAACGCGACCAATAACCGAAGCTGGCTACAAGCTGGTAATAACTAAGCCAAGCGACTGCAGCGCGCTGGTAGCCAGCATCGAACACCAACCTCAGCTTGCTGTATCGAGCGCGCGAACACGGATGCGGTCATGCGCGCGCGTCTGGTGCCCCGGCGGGCGGCGCCGGGCCTGTCCGCATGTCGCGATGTGTCGCCTGGCAACCGGGCGTCACCGCCGCCGCCGCCGCCGCCTGTCGGCCACGTCGGCCGGCGCCGGCGCGGATAGCGGCGCCGCGGCTGTCGCGCGGGCCAGCTGTCCGTCGGCCGTCACGCGGCGCACCGCTAGGCCGGGCCGACGCCCTGTCGCGGCCGTCGCGCGCCAGCCGGGCGACGGCGGCCGAGGGCGGCGGCGCGCCGGCCAGCCGGAACTGAGGAGACGGCGGCGCTCGGCGGGTCCTGCCCCGCGTCTCGCCCGCAGCGGCTGGCACTAGGAGCCGGCGTGCTCCTCTCGCTCCTCTCGAACGCTTTGCTCCGATGCCGTCCGTTGAGCTGGCGTGCCCCTCGAAGGCTCTTTGTAGTCAGACGAGCTGAAACGAAGCGTGTTTGGGAACGAAACGGGCGTCGATGCGGCCGGTTTGCTGGATCTGCCTGGGGTGTGCTCTCTTCCTGAATGGCGGGTACTCACAGACTGGCCTCGGGTTACTCGGGTTATCCGCCGCCCGGAATCTCAATTAAGCGTAATTGTTTAAGACAGGCGCTGGTTACCAGCGTGGGAAACATGCCAGTCTGCAGCATTGCTCATGTCGCAGTCATGGCCGGCGGCGTGCTGATGCCGACTCAGGGTGAGGCTCGTCCGGGGCCGTAGGCTGCTGATGATAAAGAACTTCCCCATTTCAGTTTGGATTCGGACCTCGATCTAGACGCGTGTTTCAAACGCACGATTCGCTTCGTTGAGCAGTGGTGCCGGCGGGAAGGCTGAGACTCGTTCATGGCCGGCGGGGCGCCGCCGCCGTGCCTCCTCGTAATCCTCATACAGGGTGCGCTGGGCCGCGACAGACGGCAAAAACGCCTGCAACCCGCTCGACTGGTTCGACCGCTGCATCCTGATCTGCTGGCTCGGCCAGGTGCCGCCAGCCTTCGGCTTCCTAGCCGCACAAACAGTCACGAAATGGTGGGACCAGCCATGCGGGCCCGTAGCGCCACGTCTTAGCCATGAACTACAGAGACGGAAAGCCTAATGTTGAGAGGATTACGTTGATCGAAAGATCGTAAATGAACTCGGCGAAATCCGACGAGCAGCTGCATTTGGGTAAAGGTTAGTTGCTTCCCCGATCTTGTGGCCCACCAGCCTCAAATGGCTCCCGCGTCCGTGCTCTCACACTGCAGCGTGAATGTTTGCAGCGGCGTGTACAGCGTTTGGAACACGTGCAGGCACCGTGACGGCACCGTCTGCCTGCCAGCCGTCAGTGCGGACGTGCCTGGAACCCCTGGTCGGCCGGCTGGTGTCGGCCGGCGGCGTCCGTGCGCGCTGTCGTCACCCGGCGCTCCTTCGTCTCCCGCAGGTGGACTGCAACCTGATTCCGAGCCTGCCCACCATCGACTTCGTGCTGGGCGGCCGCAACTTCACGCTGGCCGGCAAGGACTACATCCTGACGGTGAGCATGACGTCGCGCTGCTGCGTCCCTCGGCGTGGATAGGTGAAGGGACGATGACTGGGGCGACCGGTGTCTGACCGTGGCCCTGGACCGACGGGCTGGTGGATGACTGGACGGCCGCTCGCTGGAGATGCTGCCGCGCCTCTCGCTGTCTGTGCCGCAGGGTGTGCTAATGGACGCAAATTGCTGCGAAACAAGCGAGGCGTGGGAATGCTATTTTACCGCGTGCGTTTGTAACACCGTCACTGCTATTTTGCGGAATGTTTGTGTGTTGTGTAAGACTGATGATTGTGTGTTGTGCGTTGGAGATTGCGCGCCAGCGACGCGTTGGTCGTCTGTGGCTGGTCTCTCGGCCGGGGGACGCTTACCGGGAACGGAGGCAGGACTTGAAGCAGATAATTATCTGTTGCGATCGGCATGAACGTAGACGTCCTCGCCGTGCTCACACAGACTCGCACACATCAGTCCGCGCGACCACCGCGCTGTTCCGTACCGAGATGTGTCATCGCGGAGTTTGTGTCGGGGCTCTGCCGCGTGTCGTGGGGAAGGCGACCGGAGACCAGCTGCGGTGCCGGACACGCGTGTCACCAGCCGCCAGCCAGCCGCCAGACCGCGGCCGCGCCGGCCGGACGGCGAGTGTGCGACTCGGCCGGCCTCGGCGTGCCCGTCTGTCGGCCGGACGCCTTTTTATCGGGCGTGGTGATGGAGGTCCGCGCCGCGGTCGTCGCCCTCCCACGTCCCTCCTCCTCTCGCCCGCTCCGCCTCGACCGCGAAACCGTGCATGACATGGAAGATGCTTCCTAGTGCCTGGCAGTCATGACCCCCCCCCCCCCCCCCGTGTTGTGTTTACTAGACACGTCGACCCCCAATGCTAAAGACATTGGACCAAGGAGAAATCCTGAGCCCATCTCCCTTCCTAACATGGGATTCGCCCCTCACTCCCCTCTGCTCCCTCAAAGACGGACACCGACCCCGGTTCTACTGTGGTCCGCGAAGGCCAATTAGACGCGGTCTGGCGTGCCACGTCGTGAGGTCATGCCCGTTTGTGAGCTACCAATTGCTAACAGGCGACATTTGCCCGTCTGTCCGTCACATTGACTGGCGCGGACATCGCGGTGGTCGTGGCTCATCGTCCCGCTGCGTGGTCGGGCTGCGTCGCGACCCGCCACCACGTGGCGCGCGGCCGGCCCGCGCGCCAGCCACGTGGCGGGCGGCCGCGCGGCGCACGCTGCCCGGCGCCACCTGCCCCGGCCGCCGGGCCCCGCACTCCCGGCCGGCCACTCTTTGTTCCCGTCCCCCCCCCCCGCCCGCTCCCGCCGAGCGGCGGCCGGTCAGCGGGAGGGGGAGGGGGGCATCGGACGGCAGCCGGCAGGGGCCAGAGGCGCCGTACGGGGGCGCCAGAGCCAAGGCCTCGGCAGATCGGGCTGCGGGAGCGACGCCCGCGGTTCCCGTCCCGTTTCGTTTTGCATGCTAGTGGTTCAACGCCGCCCCGTTAAACTCGTGTTGATTCCTTCTCTCGTGGCACGACATTCCATGGTGAAGGTCGACCCGGGGTTGCTGGCCGAGAACTGAGCCGGCAGTTCGTTTGGCCTTCTCGCCGCAGCAGACCTGCCTGCCCTGAGCTCTTGAGCGCAGTGCCTGTGCGTCGCGGCCGAACGGCCCAGGCGGATCTTCCTCCCGATACCGTGCTGGCGGTCCGGTCCGTCTTCCGTTCACGCGCGCCCGCGTCCGCGAGTTCAACGCTCGCCGGAACCGTGTGCGGCGGGCGTTCCGGCCGGCGCACGGGCGCGCCCAGGCAGGGGTCTGAGAGAGCTTGGGTGCCGTCAGCGGCTGTGTCGGCAGGACCTGGACTCTGGTCGTCGTCGCGCGCCTCCCCGCGTCTGTGGATCTGGGCGCGCCTTTGCCGCTCTCACTGCGGTCCGGAGTGCGCCCCTGCCGCCGGTCGTCGGCCGCCGTCTGACCCCTGACCCCCTGTCTCGCCAGGTCTCGCAGGCCGGCGCCACCATGTGCCTCTCCGGCTTCATCGGCCTGGACGTGCCGGCGCCGATGGGTCCCATCTGGATCCTGGGCGACGTCTTCATCGGCAAGTATTACACCGAGTTCGACATGGCGCAGAAGCGCGTGGGCTTCGCCGTGGCCGTGTAGAGGCTGCCCGTCGCGGAGAAAGCGGCGGCCGAGCGGAGGCTGCCGCCGGCCGGCGCGCCGAAAACCGCGGGAGGAATGCGCGCGGCCGCTGGAGGTGGGGGCGCCACTGCGCGGCCCATTCAATCCGGCGTGGCCACGCGGGAGGCCGCCTTTCCGGCGCCGCACGGCAATCAACCGCTGTTTACCAGGCTATTCTCACTGCTTACCGACCACCTACAGATCGCGCTTATCGCAAGATGTGATTTTATCCCGCCGTGATAGCTTGTATTGGCTTTGAGCATTGTACTCGACACGGGCTGCTCTCCAGTTCGAATTTGGCGCCCCTCGCCGATTCAAACGGTGTTGTTCGCCTGTGGGAAGGGAGGGAGGGGACGACCGTTACGGCGCGGCGGCGCGCTGCTGTCGTCTTATCAATGGCGGCGGCGGGCCGTGCATTTCCGGCCGGGGCCCGGCGTGGCCCCGGCGGCAGTGATGGTGTCTGTACTCGGGGCCAGTGTCTTCTGGCGCGTGACGCGTCGACGTGTCTTGTATACTGAATACATGCATCATCTGAACTAATTCTGTGGACTGAGCATGCGCGGTTGTATGGGCCTGCTTGCGTGGGCCAGGTGAGGTCGTAGGCTAGTGACCATGCTTACTTGTTACATGGCTTACAGGCTGCGGTGCTCTGTACTGTCGCTGCGGGCGAAGTAATAATCGCCGGGCGAAGAGACGGCGTCTTTTCTGAGCGGCTGGCGGGGGAGGGATCGGCACGTGGCCAGGTGGGGGCGCCGGTCGCCGGGTTCACTCGCGAAGCCGGCTGGGGGGCCGCCAAACACAACCGGTCGTGCTGGCGGCCGCCTGTGCCTCAGCCGCGGCCCGTGAAACACGGGCGGCACGGCGTCCCCCCCCCCCACACCACGTGCTCTGCGGAAGCGGTTCATCTCTCCCCTTGTGTCCGCGCAGAGCGTCCCGCTCCAGCCGGCCCGCCGCGTCGCCCGCGAGATATTCATTATGTTTTCGCTGCAAACACGCCGCGGCGCACGGAGCCAAGACCAACAGTCGCGGGGCGGGGGTGCGCCGGGCGGTCGCCGGCCGACCCGGAGCCGGCGTGGCGGAACTGGCCGAACCACGGTAATACCCCGGGCAGGGGGGGGGGGGGGTATGGCTGGGGCTGTCAGTCATGGAGACAGCCTTCCCGGTACGGGGGCGCAGCCGAGGAGTGGTGGGACCGGTCTTCATCCCACGGTGCGATGTGCAATGGCTGATCGCGGTTCCGTAATAGGTGCCGGCGTGCATGGCCACGCACCGCGCCGCAATTAATGGGAGGTTCGATGAGCCACAGGGTGTCCCGGACCGTTTGGGGAATGTCAGTTGTTGCCCAACTGGCATCATTTGACTGGTCAGAACTTGTGGGTGAATAGCTTGAATAGAAGACACAAGATGAGCTTTGTCGAGTGCGTCAGCCCAGCCGAATGGAATCAATACCGCGATCACGTTATTTCGTCATTCAAGCATCCGGTTCGGCGGTGAGACTCCTGCTGAGACATCTGGTGTCAAAATTGGTAACCCTTAGTTTGCGGAGCAAAAGCTCCACCTATCTTGACGCCTGGCATTCCCTGCTCGGGTTCCATAAGGCAACATCTGATCCGTGGAACAGCTGGGGTGCTTCAAGGTATCGAAGGATTCCAAATTGCGAAGTGATATCTTGACGAAGTTTTGACGTTAGGAAATAATCTCCAGCATTCCATTTAATATTTTTTGGAGGCCTTTCCGCGCAGCGCACCATTCCAATGCTGCCATCTGCTGGCCGCTAGGTGACGCTAGCCACTAACGGATCCCATCTCGTCCTTTTTCGTTTTGTTTCGTTCTCTGAGCAAATTTTCTCCTTTCACCGTCCAGTCCGCATTTAGAGGGGAAGATTTGCTTGCGTACGTGTCGGTTCACCCACCCTTCACTGATGTCTGACCGAACGTGACGTCACCACGACAATGGACACACAAACACAGACGGCACGTCGGACTTCTGTATTTTATGTTCCGGCCGGGGGCAAATACAATGGCCGTAGTGTGTATGTGTGCGTATGTATGTGTTGGGGGATGGGGCAGAGCGGGGCTGTACTCTTAACTTTGTTTAAATTTGGCATTCAACCTATCTGGAAATGAATGACCTAAAGACCTACTTCGTTTCCCGCCCCACTTCCAGAAAGGGTTCCGCCACCCCTGCTCCGGCTGTTTGTGGATAACCTTGTCGATTCGTAAGGATATATGCGATTCCACTATGACAACATCCACAAGGTAGATACAAAAGTTACACCCTTGTAGACAGACATTTTTAGACGACGTATACATAGCTAATATTTGGTTCTACCGGTAAACTGAACTGTAAAATCACAGCGTAAGCAAGTTAAGTTTATGCGATGTTTGTTCAGGTCACGTGTCAACGTCGTTTCAGACCTACTGAGATCCCGATGTTATCCAGGGCAGCAGCGTAAGCCATCTCATGTCGTAATGAGTGTTACCAGAGTGACACGGACTCTGAACGTTAAACGAATTCCGTTTTCAATAAGCATGAGCTTGATTATGGCCTTGTTGGATTGCTTGGGTATTTTACTTTTAGCACTCCTGCCCGCTTAATTTTTCCCGGGAAAATCGTTATTTGCGTTGCGAAACTAGGTATGTTTTGAACGTGTGCCAGCTAAAAAATTTTGGTCAAATCGAAACAGTTCTGGTCGTGAGCTATGCCAATATTTATTGCTGAAAAAAACGGGTGAGCGGGTCACATTGCGCTGGGTGTCAATGAGACCAGATAAATCGTACAGAATTAATGTTTTCTATTACATGCCTTTCATGCGTATCTGGTTTGATTAACCTTGCAGCTGTTTCCCGGACGAGCCTGAAACAAATGTTCTGTTGCCTGCGAAAGGCAGGACGGCAGTGCCATCTGGTGTCAGTATGACGAACCCGAGAGCGGCCGCATCTGATCATGGACGGTTCAAGCACGTAGACCACTCAGACCACGCAGAACTAGCCGCTTATGAAGCATTTCTCAGTATAAAGACATCCCGCAAGGCGATAAGTTCCAAACTGGAGCCTGACGCAGTGCTGTTGCCGACGACAGTCATCCATCTGTCCTTATGATCTTATGCCGTTATGTCTTGCGTCTTACGTCTTGTGTTACGTCCTTATGGTCTGTAGCGTCCTTACTCACTGGCTGGGCTTGCCGAAAATGCATCTTTTTACATCGATGCTTTCATCATCGGCTCCTGACTCGTTTAGTGTTCCTCTTCGTTCAGAAGTGCACTCCATAATTATTTCACCAAGTATTTCCAGACGAATACGGCACTCATGGGAGTTGAGTGCCCCATGGTGGTACAGTCGATCATTGCCGTCCATAGTTTACCGAGTTTGCGTACGAAGGCGAAGTATATGAGTGATGTTATTCCTGTTTTGGTGACCTGTTGCTGTTGCAAATCATTTTTTGGAGGTGAAATGCTAGACTTGTGTTAAAACGAGAAGAACAAGGAAAATTTTAAGCGCGATCCTTCTAACCATCCTCAATATCTTGATGGCTGTTGGCCCAGTTATATGCTGGATATAGTGGTAGGTAGCTCAAGAGCTTTTGTAAGATTACAAAACTATCTACCATTATACACGGCACGCAGGTAAGCAACCGTCATAAAGACCTCTCGGAGTGACCACTGTCCAGCGTGCTCTCCGTGAACTCAATAATCCGCACCATTTTCTCAGCCCGTCATTACTCCGCCTCCCTTATTTTTTACTTCTCATTTGTTCTTGTCATCCGCACTAACCATGCGCTGTGACACGGCAGCCGCATTAGCCGCTGGGTAGTGCGTATGGACTCCCTTTTCAAAGCACTACTGCTTTCCTCGGGCTTTCGAGCTTGTCTTGGCACTTTTGACCAGCTTTTCGTTTGTCTCAGTCCTTTCTTCATGGTCCTCCTGTCCCGACTCTGTGCCAGGATGAGGAGAGGGACCCAGAGGGCGCCCATCTTGACAAGGGACCCAGAGGGCGCCCATCTTGACACCATCCTCAGCGCCCATCTTGACACCATCCTCAGCGCCCATCTTGACACCATCCTCAGCCTTTTTAGTACCACAAGTGATCTGTCTATGCGCATTTTGACTTCTTGTTCGTGTGTATTTGGGTCAATCGATGTAAAAAACGAACCTTTTGGTGTCCACGGGTGCTTTCCATGCATGCATGCATTACATGCAGCCAGGAAGATGTATGCCATTTTCAACCAAGTCCTCAATCTTGATCGCTGGAAAATGAACCGGTGTTACAGTGCACTCCCGCCTGGCTGTCCAGCCCTTGCAGTAGGTACTGGCTGAACAGAGTTTGTCTTCGGCGGAGGTTAGCTGCAGGTTTTTTCTTCTTGTCATGGAATCACTAGGCACTAACGCAAAATCCATTACAGCGTCTCTGGTTTGACAGTTCTGATATGCCTCCTATTCATGCACATCGTGCACAGCCAAGGCTCAATGCATTGTGTTGATGCTGTTCATAGTTTCAGCACGGCGAAAGACGATGTGTTTTTCTCCGAAATCCCTCAGTTACCCAACGTTTCACCTTCTCGATATGTTGCAAATAGGTTGAGGCATGTCATTGTAGTCCAAAGAGAAATGTAGCGCTCAAAGAATGACAGCAGCAAAAGTCTTACCTCGCTGGGTCAAAGATCATATCAAAATTACACCATAAACTTTGGCATATTCTGCTATGACATTGAAATCAAAGTGTTCCCGCGCATACATACATATATATCTGTTTATTCTTCGCTCACTTGGATGGCTTGACAGGCTTATAAACGTTGTGAGCTGCAAGACTGATGTTTTTCGCACCAGAACAGAACCGTACAAACTTGGCCTTTATACGAACTTTGGGCGCATGTGTTATACATGACACCTTCAATGCAAGATTATTTGGCACCGGAGATCCCGATGGTGACGATGCAGACATTGCTGGGAAATTTCGTCTTGAATGCCCGCAGCTGCGACTTAATTACGTCGAAGATCACCGCGAGTTGCATCAAAACAATCGAAATAAGAGAAAACTGCAAGCTACTGCATGCTCAGGCAAAAATCGCTGTGCAAGCCCCTTCTGATGATGACATAACTCACTGACCAGATGTCAGCACCACATAAGCTCCCTCCAGGCTGTGTCCAATTGATCATCTGTCCGGTACCGAAAGTTTCGTCAGCCGACATAGCAAGGTTAGGATGAAACTCGAAAAACTCGGAGGGGTTTTTTAAACCTCCTTTTTTAACCTTCAACCTCCCCCTTCCCTGGCGGATGCAGGCTTACTGGTTCGCATATGCACAGAAAAGGAGTGACTGTTGGCAGAAAGCAGAGGCTCCAGCCTGCAAATGCCACCATTGCGAGGTCCGAAGGATGTCTATCGTGGCGCCACCTATCCCATGGTTTGGAACTATTGGTACCAATCCGAACCCGAGAAGCATCGTACACAAACGGCGTTCCACCACGTCTGCGCGATGCACAATCGTGGTTTTGGGCTTATCAGCTTATATCTGTGGCATAGGGAACTGCACCAGCCT